TTTATGTTAAAATTTTTTATTTAATAATTTTTATTTTATATTTTAAATTATAAAATTAAAAAAATTTATTTTTTAAAAAATGTTTTCAATTTCAAGATAATATGTCTATGTCTAAAGGAAATAGCCAAATAGGCTATGGTCAAAGAAGACTTTTTCTTTTCTTGAACAAACCAAAAAAGGTCAAAGAAGAATTTCACTTCTTCTTCATGAGAACAAATGAATTAAATACATTTACTTGGTTTACCTGCATAAGAAACATCCACTTCAAAACAACCTTTCTTCAAAAAGAAAAAGAAAATGCATTTACTTAATTACAAAGTAATGAATGGGGATAATTCATCTTAAGTAATTTCTTTCACTATTTTTATTTGAGATCAAAATGAGAAATGCATACTTATCTATAATGATTTTTCCACTTTTAATTAGTAAACATTTGCAACATTAATTCCCTTCTTTTTTAAAAAAATTCTAATTTTAAAAATTCAGTTTAATCTTTTGTTTTTTCATTAATTTCTTAATATTTAAAATTAAACTGAATCAAATCGCATCAACTCTCATAAAAATAACTCTTTCAACATATTCATAAAATTTAAATTTAAGATTTTATTTTAAAAAACTGAGATCCTTCGTTCTGTTAAAAAAAAAAACTGAGATCTTTAAGGTTCCTTTTAATATTTAGAAAAATACATTACTCCTTTCATAAAAATATACAGACAGGAAAAAGGAATAAAAAAAAAAAAAGTCACAAAAAGGCAGAAAAATAAATAAATAAAGAAGAAAAGGTCTTTAGTCCTTGCATTCGTATTCTCTCTGACAAAATGGATTCCAGTTCCACCTTTCTTCTGGAATCTCAAATTTCATAAACCCCAGATCCACAGAGCCACTTCCCAAAATACCACAGAAATCAAAGACGTAGATTATCTTTCCTGTTTCTGTCCTGGATTTCTTCACCGTATTGTGTTCTGTTCACACCCTTCATCCCAACAATTCTCCTAAACTAAATATCATCAACCCAGCTGATTGACAAAATACTAGAGATTACTACTCTGCTACAACAAACATAGAAAACAAGGTAAAGGAACTGTTTTTCCTGGAAGAAAGATCGAGTCTTTGTGCTGTTTGTTATCCGGGTGGTATGCACAGATCTGGAGTGGCGATGGCGTGGAACGTGTTCAGGTTCTGTACTGCCTTGAGGGGTCTGGGGTCGATCATGATCCTGTTGGTTCTTGGGGTTGTGGGTGTCACATACTATGCTGTTGTTTTGACAAATTATGGCCCAGCTTTGTACGAGGGTGGCCTTGATTCTGTAACTGCTCTGGGTGTTTTGATCTTGTTCCATTGTTTGGTAGGCTCTCAAAAACAATTACTTTCTAATTTTTAGAACTTATTGCCCTTTGTTTGTGGGGTTTCAAGGGTTTTGTTAGAGTTTATTTGTGTGTTTTTGGCTAGGAACCTTGTGAAATTCAGCTCTTTTAGAAATTAAAATAAAAAGAGAAAAGGGATTGAGGAATTGTTCAACTTTCTCATATAAAAAATGTGCTTTTTTATTTTTTTATTTTATACTGTAATTCATGTCTTTCTAAGTTGCTGAAGACATGTGAGTTATGGATTTCTTTGTTTATCTTAGACCTCAATTTTATGTTTGAAGGATTTAAATAGTGTTTGATTGCACCCGTGGAGGGAATTAAAGTTGAAAATGGAAGTTTTGATGTGATTCTACAGTTAGTGATGCTGTTGTGGAGCTACTTTTCCGTTGTTTTCACCGATCCGGGTAGTGTACCTCCTAACTGGAGGCCTGCTATGGATGAGGAAAGAGGGGAGGGCGATGCATTGAATGGATCAGAATTCAGTGCTTTGCAGTCTGACCCATCGAATCAAAGAATTAGGTATTGTCGGAAGTGCTCCCAACTGAAACCACCACGGTGTCATCACTGTTCTGTTTGTAAGTTCTTTATCCTCTGAAATCCTCCAAATTGTTGTTTTTCTTAATTTTACATTAGAGAATAGAGATAATCAGTTGCAGTTCAATTTCTTTGTTTTAGGTGGGCGTTGTGTGCTGAAGATGGACCATCATTGTGTGTGGGTTGTGAACTGTGTTGGTGCCCTAAACTACAAGTATTTCCTTCTTTTCTTGGTATGCCAGCTTTGTTGAAGCACTCTTTTTGTAATAGGTTTTATTCTACGAAAGTCTGTTATTTATCTTCTTAGCTTTTTGAAGTTTCTGTTTTTGATTCTAATACCGAGCACAAACTTGGTAATGAGTTGTTTGTTTCCGATTCTATATTTTGGTCAATAAGGATTTTTGTGAAAAATTGTTACTCATCTTTGAAAATTGGTTTCTTTTTCTTTTTTGTTGGCCATAGAAATATAATATGATTGCACACTGAGAGATAATGGAAGGTTATTGTCACTGTTTTCTTGGCCTTCTGTTGACCATAATCTTGAATCTCAATGCAGTTCTACACGTTTCTTGAGACTACTCTTGTGACTCTGGCCTTATTGCCCCATTTTATAGCATTCTTTAGTGATGGAGAAATTCCTGGAACACCAGGAACCCTTGCCACCACTTTTCTTGCCTTCGGTATGGTTTGCTTTCCCTTTATATATCTTTTTCCATGCCTATTAAATTTAATGGACGGGTATTTATGTATGACTATGTTGCCTTCTCTCAGTTTTGAACCTGGCATTTGCATTGAGTGTGCTCGGGTTTTTGATCATGCACGTATCACTGGTGGCTGCTAATACAACAACCATTGAGGTATTCAGTTTTGGTTCGGTCATCGAATATGGTTTTACCTAAGTTCCCTTAACTTTCCTTATTTTCTTTTGATGGGAAGAGGCTGGTGTCCTGAATGTTACAAAAGACACTGTCATTGTTCACATGCAAGGCTAGGTGAATATACTACAGTTCTGTCAAAGGCCTTAAATTTAGAAAACGCCTCAACTATAGATCTTATGGATCTTATTAACACCTCACTCAAACTGATTTAACGTGCTTTTGTGTAAGGAACTAGTGTTCTTCTTTTGACATGATAGGTGTGACATTTTTCTCCTTTCTTGAGGAGGACTTATTTGTTAGACATTGACTTCAATTCAAGGATTAATCTATTATTGTCTTTTGAAAAGGCTTATGAGAAGAAAACCTCTCCAAAATGGCGTTATGATCTTGGTCGAATGAAAAATTTTGAGCAGGTTCGAATTTTCTGCAACTTATTGCTCTTTTTTCTTCCTCTCATGAATGCTGGGCCTAGATCCTACAAAGCATGCATTTTCTGATTATTTTTTTTCTGATTAAAAGTAATTAACCTCGGAATTCTTTGAAATTTCACGGAGGAATTTAGCCAGTGATTTGCATAAACTTTACATAACAACCTCCTCAATTTGATGCTGCCTGTATATCAGTATTAGCAATTTGCATTCTCATGTCATTCATAATACATTTGTAAACTATACCACTAATACCAGATTGTGGGTGCCTTTTTTGTGAGTTTAAGCCTGTCTAATTGAAGTTTTGGTACTTGTGTACAGGTATTTGGCACAGACAAGCTATACTGGTTTATTCCAGCATACTCTGAAGAAGATTTACGAAAGATACCAGCACTTCAGGGTCTTGAATACCCATCAAGGCCTCACTTTGATTCCCAAGAGGTTTAAAAACCTGTGCTCCAAGCCAAGAAATATGGAAAGTCTTTTCTTGTTAACTAACATTGCAGCATTCCTGGAAATCATTCCCCTACATCCTTCTGATGAATTAGCCAGCCGCCTAACAGTTCATTACAAGGGGCATTTTCTTGTTGAGATGAGGAGGAGAGGGGAATAGAGAGAGAGCACTTTCTAGGAATAAATCAGGGAAGGGCTGCGGAAATGGCTATAGTTGATAATGTTATAAAATTTCATGTTGTAGTTGCATTTTTAACAGAGGGTGCGAGTTTAGGGTATGGTGAAATGTAATTTGTTAACACGGTGGCATGATTTTTTTTTTGGGTGGAAGTGGCATGATGTTGCCTAACCTAACCTTTGTTGTATGTTCATTGGGAAAAAAAAAAGGAAAAAATGAAAAAATGTCAAAAGTAGAACCATTAGGTGGCATGGAAATGTGTCCTATGTGATTCATGGCTTCTTCATTGCCAACTCAAAAGTCAAACACGATTGAAGGACAACTGAAAGAAAAATGAAATACAAAGGTTTTATCACAATGAATTTCCTTCCATTTTATGTTTCTTTCATTCTTTTCTGTGTACAGATAATAAACAGATGTTTTGCAGCATTCCAAATGTTTTCTGGGTGAATCCTAAATTTCTTGTTTATTGAATCCTCATTAAAGTAGGATTAGAATTAATTATTTAGCCTGCAATTTAAAGTTTAAACCTTACTTCTGCCTCTCTATTTTAACAGGTTTTTTTTTTAATTTCTCTACTTTAAAAACGTTTACTTTTAATCTCTAAAGTTTATTATAGTCTCTTTTTAATTCTTTTGTTATCTTTTTACATGGGTGATGTATTAAATAATTGAATTTTTAAATTTTCAGATAATTGAAGTTTTAAATTTTAAACTATTTGAAAAAAATTCTTTTTTAATTCTTTACTTTAAAATTTTCATTATATAATGAGTTATGTATGTAAAAAGATAACTAAAAATTAAAAATAAATTAAATAATAAACCTTGAAGACGAAAAATAAAAATTAAAAAGACTAATAATAAATTTTTTATTAAAATAAATAGATCAAAATAAAGTTTTAATCGCAATTTAATACTATTGTTATAGTCCTTGGTCCGTGTCGAGAGGGACAGGGCGTCCTTATGTAAACTCTTGCTATCAATCTCCCATCGGATCTTAATGGCATAGTCCCATGTCACCTACATATATTAAAAAAAATTAATTTTCGTGAGGGTAAACTTTATTTGGAATACACCCTTAGCCCAAAAAGAACAAAATAAAATAAAATAAAAAATAAAAAAAATCTAGAATCGGATTAGTAAGGTTTTTTTTTTTTTTTTGGCAAGGGTAATAATTAATAATTAAAAGTTAGAGATTAATGTTTTACTTTTTGATAAAATTTGATTACTAATCAAAGTACATTTCATCGATAATCTTTTAAATTGCAGTGGCACCATTGAACCACAAGAGGGGAATGCGGAGCAGTAAAGACTCTGATTCTGCATGAATCTCTTCACCAGTTTTCTCTTTCCTTTATGCCAGACAGACATGCATTATTTGCCTAACGGGTTAATTTACCAAATCATCTCTTAATTTTTATATTTTGTTTAGTTTCACTTATTATTTTTGAATTTTTTTAATTTTATTTATTATCTTTTATATTTATTTTAATTTTATTTATTCTATTATCTTTGATGAAAATATTCATTATCTTTAACAAAATCTTTTTATCCTTTAAGAAAATATTTAATCTTCTAACTATATTTATTTTGATCTTTTAGTCCTTAAATTTATATTCACCA